AAAAAAAAAAATGAAATTCAAGAACAATTCGTACAATCAAATTGACAGTTCAATTGAATCAACTGCACATGCCCTAGTTTTCTTCTTCTTACCATATGTCACCATCCAACTAGAATTTTGACAATTTTTTCATCAACAATAACAAAACTTTATTGCATTGATGGAGACCAAGACTTAATTTTAGAAACCAGAGAGCAAGATATATAGAAGTGGCTCTGAACGTTAACCCATATATATAAATATGTTTGCTTTGTTATCCATTGTATTAATTTGCAGGTATGAAAATTGAAAAATGAAAAGAGTACAAGATTTTCCATGCATTAGGTTCAAATAATGGGCCTCATAAGTCGGTACGTACTTGGAAAAGTCAACACCAAACCTATGTGCAGTGTAGAAAATGAGAGCAGGAGAACATGATGACAATATGAATTAATTCTTTCATTAGAACTAATTGGCTTTCCCAAAGAAAGTAGACTGAACAATAAGCTAAGTGATGATTTTTTTTTTTTAATATATAAAGAAAGTATTTATCAGTTTAATTTATAAAAAAATTGAGAGAAAAAATATTTTAAATTATATTATTTTAATAATATTTTATTAAAAATGAGTAAAATAATTTATTTTCAAAACAAGAATGATACTACTTTTGATCTTTTTTCATGTATTTTATTAAAATAATATAATTTTAAGATTTTTTTTTCTCAACTTTTCAAATATCTGAGTGAGAAACACTAATCTTGTACATTTTAGTAAGATCTACTCGGAAAAAGTATAGGCAAGTTGTGCCTCATTGTTTTCTTTCCAATGGGCAAGTCCAAACAGTTGGATTCGAGTGAAATATATTCGGTAGAAGCCCATAACTTTTGAGCCGAACTTCTCTGATTCTAGCTCCTTAACCGAATTTTTCCAGAACCGAAAATGGACCATTGGGCGTTGGGTTGAAGCCGATGGATGGTTGGTTTCCAAGTGGCATTCTGAGGGCCCAAACAATTCGATGACAGAATCAGACATGCAAATCTTTTTCCTTTCTCAATGAGTAAGGAAACAATTAAGAGAGTAGCTCTTGGAAAAAAAATTCAACTCAATGCTAATTGCTGGGAAAGTGCGTTCCATTCCAATTGACATTCTAAGGAATATTCTGTGGAAACTAGAAAGGGTACAAAAGTAGGAGCTTTGACACTTTTGTAATCGACAGTAGTATAAGGATAATTTTTTATATTATTTTTTATATAATTTTTATATGTTATTAAATGAGTTGATACATGTTATTAAATGAGTTGATACATTTAATATCATTAATTTCATATGAATAAAAAGAATCAATTATTTAAATGACACGTTAAGTTGTATTAAAATGTAATACAAAAAAATTGTCTTAAAATCATTTTTTTCACTTGTAATGGTATTTTTTAATCAACTTTCATAATATTCACATGAATATCACAATTGTGAAAAAAGGAAAGGCAAGGTAACTATAGGCTATCTTGAGGTATATATAAAGAATACATAAGCTCAAATGCTCAATATAATTAATGGAAAAAGTGCTCATATCTAGCTTACATTTTAAAAATTAAATAGAAAATCAATTTAAAACTACATCATTTTAATAAACTTTTAATGAAAAAGATTAAAATAAATTATTTTTAAAATATAAATTAGATTTTTTTTTATTTTATTAAAACGATACAGTTGTAAAATGTTTTACCACCTAAATTGATAAACATTGATCTCTAATTAAAAGGAAGGATTGTTTGATTCAATTGATAGCTAATCTCCCCGTTATGTAAAGTAAATATTCCTTTTTTTAAATGAAAAAGTAAATATTTTAAGAAATTTTATAAGCTGTGCCTTAAGACACACATTATGCATGCATTTATTACACTTTTACATTATTAATTTGTATGAAAAAATAAAAGTTAATTTTAATTTTATTGACATCTAATTAAGATGTTTCATATGATATTGGTGTTGAAAATAAAATTTACTTTTATAGTTATTTATATAAATTAATAGTGAAAATTAATATATAATAAATACACCATTAATCTGTAACTTGTTAGACAAACTCATATTCTAATTAAGAGGAAAAATATTTAAAAAATATGTTATTTTAATAAACCATCACAGACAAACCAAAACAAATCATGACTGTTTTAAAAAATACCGTATTAGATTTATTTATCCCACTTTATCCATTCATGATTATCAAAAAATTCATTTATTATAAGAATTAGAATTTATCTTTGTATTTACGCCTTATATAAAGGAAAAAATATCAACGTATTTTCATCTTTTGAAGGTAATGATAAAATTAAAATATTAATATTTAATGTGTTATTAAAATAAAAAGTAAGACAATTAAATTAAATTATCCCTGCTAAGAAAGTGAGATAACAAAATTGAGGAATTGGCTATTTTAGTCTTTTTTATTAAAATTATTAAAAACAATGTAATTTTAAAATATTTTTCTACTTAATTTTTTATAAATCCAACTTATAAACATCTTCTTTTCTATTTAATTATACGTGGCATCCAATTCACAAAAGGTTATAAAATTTTTAATGATTCTCTTTCTTTAAAGGGGAGATTTGTTTCCAAATAATTGTCCATTTCCAATTTTTAATCTGCCTATAAAATCAACCTAAAATACAAACAACATCATAGTTTAATTCGTGTAGTTAGTTATTCGCTGAGATTCATACCATGAATACTCCCAATTTCTTAATCCTAGCAATCTTTTCGTGTCTTTTCCTCCTTTTTTCAAGCCAAATCAATGCAGAATCAGATTTGATCAAACAGGTATGCAGCCAGACAACCAACCCCAACTTCTGCACCACCACTCTTGTATCCAACCCAAAAGCCGCCTCCGCAACCGACTTTGTTAACTTATGCAAGGCTGCTCTAGAGATAGCCATTGCTAGTGCAACTGACGCACTTTCTTACGTAAAGACTGCATTGGCCAACAATCCCAAGCCAGAGTTGAAGGACGCTCTGGGAACTTGCGTGGAAGGATACGACAATGCCCAGAAGTCTTTTGTGTCTTCACATGCAGGAATAGAAGAGGATCCATTGACGGCCAATTATGACGCCAAAGTGGCTGGGGATGGTTACGTATCCTGTGCAGAGGCTTTGGCGAAAGCTAAAGTTCCTGATGAACAAATTTCGGCTAAAAACAAAGTTGGAATGGATATTGTCTCCATTGCCGATTCAGCCACAAGTAAGCTCCCGAATTGAACAAGTAGTCTACAACACAGTTTTCATTTGCCAATTGTAATAATAAAATGAAATAATCTTATCTATATTTTTCTTCTTTTTTCATCTATTAATTTACATGTGAAATGCCTTTTTATTTAAATTTAAAATCTCTAAAAAAAAAAATTACTATTAAATTTTGTTGCTAGACATTTTAAAGTTTCTTTCACATTCATCCATGTGAGATGTGACTTATCCTTTAACAAAAAAATTCATTATTCTATGGTTCAACTACTAAGCGTAGTAGATTGTATAGCACTGGCAACATTATGCCTGTAGATCCTCCTCATTTATCAACTACTATAAAAAGTGCAATATGCATTAGCAAACTTTATTGTTGCATAAAAACGCGGAAGGTTGGGAGCCTTATCAAGGACAGCACCAGGAGACTATGATAAGCCCAATTGTAACATAACTAGACCCTAATCTTGTTAAAAAAAAAAAAAATAGCCCATAAAATCTAAAACCCGAAGATAGAGAAGTCTTCGATTGCCTCATTCATTTTTCGGTCGTTCTCTTTCCCCTAAACCCTTCGAGACAAACAAAGCAATCTGCAGGAAATTTTCATGTCAGGCGACTTTGTTTCAATCTCACACTCAGCGTCATATGGTTCAAACTCATCCCCAGACCCACTATTATTTGGCTCAGCCTCATCCTCTTCCTGCCTCATTCTTAATCTCACCCTCAAAAACTCGGCCTTAGTCTTAGTCTTATCCTCAGTCTCAGCCTATGATGATCCATTTGGATTCAATCGAAATTTCTTCTACAGCATAATGAAACTTCTATTTGATAATCAATGATATACAATGCCAGCGCATTTGCCGCACGCCTCTGCTGCGTGCCTTTGTGCCTTTGCATCTTACCATCCCCATGTCATCGGAAGTGTTATTGAGGAATTAGTATGTTAAATAAGTAAGAATCTATTTACTTATAAGTTTTATATAGTTATATAAGATTTCAATAATTTATTTATTTATTTTTAATAATTAAAATTTATTTATATTTATTAAAAATAATTATTTTTTAATTTAAAAAATTATAATAAATCTCAATTATTAAACATAAAAAAATAAATAATTATATAAATATGATATATTAAATTTATATATAAATAAATACCTCTTCATATTATATTGTTCTCTTTTTTTTTTTAATAGATGTTAAATTGTTTCGTTGGTAATATATGTGATCATATCCCGTGGTAAAGCACATGAAAATTGCCAACATTTTAACCAATTAAATAATAATATTTTTAAATATTACAATTTAAATAATTAAAAAAATTACCAAAAATAAAATTAAGTGATTATTAAAATGAATCTCCTAACTTTTTCTAAAATAAATCTCTTTTTATATTTTTAAGTTAAATAAAATTAATCATCTTAAATTTTATTTTTTTAACAAATTAAAATTATTTATGTATATTAATTAAAATTTTTTTTGTGAAATTCTAACACAACACTTATAAAAGGTAAACGACCCTAATCTAAAATTTATGTTACTGTAGTGGATCCACGGTTCCATTTTATATTTTAATTGAAATAAATTAAATTGAATTTAATAAATAACCTAATGATTAGTCATCATTTTGTCTTTTCCTTGTAATAATTTTTAAGCTCTTTACTCACTGATTTGATATTACTAGGCTCATTTTTTGATTATATGATATTTTGTTTTATTGGTTTCAAGGCAAGCGAGAAAGAAGAACCAGGCCTGTCGGCCAAGTGGCATTAGCCATTATTGTAGGTTTATCTCCCCCATCCTCAAGGACTACGGTTCTACTCGATCCTTGACAAAAATGATCAAAAAAAAAAAAAAGGCAAGCGAGAAAGAAGTAATCAATCTTGGTTTGTGCATTTTACACCTCTTTATTTTATTGAATAGTTTTGTGGAAACCGAAAAGGGGCTAAAAGTTGGTGTTTTGACACCTTGTAATATTATTTTTTAATCAACTTCATAATATTCACATGAATATCACAATTGTGAAAAGAGGAAAGGGAAGGTAACAAAAGGATTCATTGGCCTAAATCTTGAAGTATATATAAAGAATATAGAAGCTCAAATGCTCAATATAATGAATGGACAAAGTGCTCATCCGTCTAAACTTTTAAAAATAAAGAACAAAATCAATTCAAAACTACATTATGTTAATAAATTTTCAATAATAAAGATTAAAATATATTATTTTTAAATAACAGTAATTGGTACACACTTAATTCAATATACTATTTAACACACTTATTAAAAAATTATTATTTTTTAGTCTGAAATTAGAGGTAAACAAATTTAAAGATATAGTTATGTACACAAAATATAGGAACCAGCTAAATCAATTGTATTTATATTATATTTTTAATGAATGAACTGGAAGTGTGTCAAAAAATGTTAAACTGAGTGTGTACCAATCATTTTTATTTTTAAAATATAAATTAGCCTATTTTTTTTATTTTTTCTCATGATATTTTATTAAAATAACATAATTTTAAAATGTTTTACCACTTAAATTAATAAATGTTAATCTCTAATTAAGAGGAAGGATTATTTGATTCAATTGAAAGCTAATCTCTCCGCCATGTAAAGTAAATATTCTTTTTTTTTCTTTTACAGAAAATTAAATATTCGAAGGAATTTTTTAAATTGTGCCCTAAACAAAAATTTAGGGTGTATTTATTATATTTTTTTATCATTAATTTATATAAAAAAATAAAATTTAACTTTAATTTTATCAATGTAGTGTTGAAAATAAAATATACTTTCATAATTTTTCATACAAATTAATGTTGAAAAAAATATAATAAATATACTCTTAACTTGTACCTTTAGACAAACCCATATTCTAATTAAGGAGGAAAAAACCCACGAACGAGTAGATGAGTTGGTAAGGGACTCTTCCAACTTAATTAAAGGTATTGGTTTCAAGTCCTAGGAATGAAGTTCCGTTAAACTCATGAGGGAAAAATTTGCCGCCAGTTGAATCTTGCCCGACTCAAATCCAGATTAATTGGTAGCCCAATGAGCTTCCGAATACTGAGTGGTCTAAACCAAAAACAATTAAGGGGGAAACATATTTTAAAATTACGTCATTTTAATTAAGTATCATATAAAAGATGAAAAAAAATATTATTCTCACTTAGGGCATAAATTAGACAAATCCATATTCTAATTAATAAGGAAAAAGGTTTCAAAATTATGTCATTTTAATAAAGTACAGAAAAAGACCAAAACAATATTATTCCTCCTTTAAAAAATACTCCATCTGATTGAATTTAGTTGTTTTACTTTATCCATTCATGATTATCAAAAAATTCATTTATTATAATAATTAGAATTTATCTTTCCATTTTCACCCTTACTTATAATTAAAGGAAAAACATGCTAACACATTTCTATCTCTTTTAAAATAAGGATAAAACTGAAATATTAACATTTAATGTGTTGTTAAAATAGAAACTGAGACAACTAAATAAAGCATGGTTTTAAAACTTGGCTCGACTCGATCCTATTGAACTGGTTTAATCG